GGAGGTGAGCTCAAAGGCAAGGACCTGTGTGAGGTACAATGCGAAGGTGATGACCGTGATGGAATTAAGCATGAGGACGACGGTAACTCACACTTATCAACAGCTTAGTGTGTGCTGGGTGTTTTACAGGCATTATCTCATTTATACTCCCAACCACCCTACGAGGTATTATTATAATCTCCATTTGAAGGATGAGAAAACCGAGGCACAGGAAAGTGGAATGACTTGCCCAAAGTCACCCAGCAAGTAAGTGCAGACCCAGACTGGAACCCAGGGGTCCCTGACCCTGCAGTCCCTGGTCTTGACTGTTACAGGGCACACTTCCCTTGAGATGGCCAGCCCCTGCCTTTCTGCTGCTTACAATGAATGGAAAAGGCATAAGAAAATCAAAAGAACAAGTGCAAAATACCTAGCTTTATGCAACACTGAACAATCCACCTGCGGACACCTGACGAGCCTTGTCCTGTCCTGGCTGATAGCTTGGCAGAGGCCTCGTTACCTGGATCTCAGGAGTCGTGAAAGGAAAGGAAAGTCTCGTAACCAGAGCAACCATTTCCCTCCCCCATGGAAGGGTGGAGTGGGCATGGTTTGCAGAAAGACAGCAGCCTCTGCAGCCCGTTCCCCTGAGGCATGCAGAGGAGTATGTGGCAGGAGGCTCCACAGCACAAGCCGGGGAAGGAGGGTTTGTCATTTTGTGAATTCCCAAAATATGAAAGACATTAATAATGCCATTTGTGGAGAGCTCATAACATGCTGGGTACCTCGCTATTCACTTTATGTGTTCCTGTCGAATGTGATCTTTACAGCAATTCTATGAGCAGGTACTCACTATTCAGGTGAGGAAAGGGACTCAGAGAGGCCAAGCAACTTGCCTGTAGTCACACATCTATTAAGTGGGGAGGCAGGGATAACAGCGGCAGGTCCGAGTCACAGCGGGTTCTTACCTACTATCTTGGCTGTCCCTTATGTTAAATACAAGGACAGACCCTATTTGGAATATTAAATAAGCAAGAATTCTCGATGGTCTGCCATTTTCCGCTTGGCTGTGCTGAGCCTCACCTCACTCTGGGAGACTAACTGGGTTCTTATTTCAGCAAGTATTTACTGCCTGCCTGCAACACGGTCTGCTCCGTGCCAGGCGCAAGAGCCCCACATTCAATAAGCGAGACAGGTGGTCCCCTTCGCAAGCAGTTTACAAATTCACAGTGGATAAAAGGGACACACTTAAAGCACTTAGAGATGATTTTACAAGAGGTCTGGGAATTGCCGGATTAAACAGTCATCAGTGCCTCGAGAGTCGTGGAGGAGGTGAGCTTTGAACAGAGGGCGGGAGTGGCCCATCCGAGCTGAGAGATGAGGGCAAAGGGGTCAAGTGGCCAGCAGCATCAGAGGGAAAAGACAATCCCAGGCTGCCCACTCTGCCAAGGGCCTGGGCCACACCACAGGGAAAGCCTCCCTTAGGTTGGGGCACAGGCCCAGAGAGGTGCGCAGTGAAGTCCCACCAAGGTGCTGTGCATCCTCAGAGCCAGTTTAGGCAAAGGGAGCAAGGCTCCTGGTTTACGAGGGGACTTTGAAACCAAAAAGTCAGCAGGTCTGAAACTTTCAAATTCATTTCTCCTCTACCCCGAAGAGCAGACGTATAAATCAGAAAGGAAGTACCGACAAGTCACGGAGTAAAAATGGAACTTAAGCCCATAACAGGTATAGACTCTGAAAATTTTGCGTAAAAACCTTAACGAAACGTATGGCTTTCCTCCAGCAATTCCATTTCTGTCCATGCTCCCTGAGGAAGTACTGGGACAGTGTGCAGGGACGATGACAGCAGCTTTGTTTATAATAGGACAAACTGTACACAACCTAAGTGTCCAGTGATGGAGGATTAGTTAACACAATTTTGATGTCCATATAATGGAATCCTAGGCAGCCATGACAACTGGAGATGTAGATTTGTGTTCATTAGTAAGGAAAAAATCCTAACGTATTGTGTAAAGGACGATTATAAATGAGAAGATTGTAAAACAATATATATAAATTTTACCAAGTCTGAATCAATGTAATAGAACTGAAATCATATGGAATAAATTCTCTGATCACAATATAATTAAATTAGGTATTGATAACCATAACATATCTAGGAAAATTGCAAATATTTTCAACTAAAAAACACATTTTGAAATAATCCGTCAAAGAAAAAATCAAAGGAAAAACTGTAGTATAGTTTAAACTAAATGATATACAAAATACAGCATACAAAAACTTTAGGAGACAACTAAAACAATTATTAGAGGGAAATTTTTACCTTTAAGTGCTCCTATTAAAAATTTTTTTAAAGGTCTCATATTAATGACCCAAGATTCTGCATGAAAAAAATTTCAAAAATAAAAGGGCAAAGTAAACTCACAGTAAGCAGAAATAAGAAAAATTAAAAATAAATGTAGATAGCAACCAAATAGAAATCAGGCAAACAATGTAGAAAATTAACAAAGCAGAATGCTGTCTTTTTGTCTCGGAAAACCTGAGATATTCATATATATATAAATCATATACATGAATCCACATTGTAAAATGCTTACATTTCTATGAATAGAAATGTTAACAGAAGTTATCTCTGGCTGACAGGATCATAGACAATCTTTAGAAATTTTTTATTGTTGTTTATCTGTATTTTCTAATTTTTCTGTCACTCCATTATATTTAAGGGTTTCTAAGGGGACTGACATCCTCTGCTTATTTGTTGAATTGATATAACAGTACAGAAACCTGAAATATTAAACCTTTGCTTCCAAAAGTTTGAGGCATGTGCCCCTGTTGATCCAGGAGAAGTTCTGAGTGGCACTGAGACATCTTTCGGTAACACTGCAGAGAGAAAGGGGGCCCCCTTTGACGTCTCCTTCCGTGATTTTGATTATTCAAGGAGGAAGCTCTGGTTTGGTACAAATCCGTCTTCATCTCCCCTAGAAGAACTGCTGCTCTTTCTTTGTAACCAAAAGAGCCAAGCAGGTGGGAAGCAGCGCCCGGGCAGAAGCCAAGATGGCTGGCTTTTTCTATCTTCGTCACTGCCTTCTATTTGCGGCACATTTTTGCAATTATGCTAGAAAGATAAGGCTTCCCTTAAATAAGGAAATTAAATTTAAGTGAAAAGGCTTGTCAATGATTTAAATAAACTTTAAAAGTAAGAAATTTGGTAAGGGGTCAAGGATGAAAACGATGAAGGCAGCACACCTACAAGTGATGTCCGGGGAAAGCGGCCTTAACCCCTAGTGGGACACCGGTGTGCACCAGAATATCCACCAGCTCCCCCAGACCTTGATTTCTGTCTGTCTATCTTCTGATTTTAACATAAGAACAAGAGCATGAATATAATAAATGAGCAGTTTGCTCGGGTGATGACCTAGGCAGTGGGGGGCAATTTCAGGCTGGGATTCTGAGCATATCCAGATAAACCCTGCTGGGAGGATGATTGAAGTGGGAGGCTCCTAAGAACAGACAAAATTTTCTTTGCCCTGAGGAAAGAGGCCCTTCCGCAGGAAGAAGGTCAAGGCCAGTCTATTTTTATAAGAGCATTTCGAGTGGTTCGTGGACTTATTTCCTGTGGTTCCCAGGAATTCTGCAGCAGGCTCTCAGGAGGATGTTGGTGATAGGGAGCCGAGACTTGATGAGTGAGAATCAATAATTATCTCTATATTTGCTTCACCTTTTTTTCTATAAAAATAATCTAGGGGAAAAACACTTGCTTTAGAGCAAAGTTCATGACCACAGAGAGCAGAATGGGACCTGAAAGTCCCTTAGTGTGTAACAGAGTCCTTAGGTCAAGATTTTGCAAGCTGAAGATTGATTTATTCACTCATTCCCTTCCCTCCCTCGTTCACTCAACAAATATTTGAGCAGCTCCTCTGTGCAGGCATTGTCCAGGGGCCGAGGGGAAGGTGGTGGATAAACATGGCTCCTGTCCTCCAGGAGCTTACAGTCGTGTGGGAGGAAGACATCAAACAAGTAGGATGGTATATATAATTAATTACAAAGGATGGGAAGTGTTGGAAAGAAAAAGAACAGGAGACTACAAGGGAGAATAATGGAGGCCGAGTGGGGACAGAACTTAGATCAGGAGGTCAGGGAAGACCTCTGCAGAGGCTGTGCTTCAGCTGCCATCTGAAAGGTAGAAAGTGTTGGGGAACGGGGCGGGCCCCGTGGCCTAGTGGTTAAGTTCGGGTGCCCTGCTGCAGCCAGCCCAGTGTTTCGTCGGTTCCAGTCCTGGGTGCCGACATGGCACCACTCATCCAGCCACGCTAAGGCGGCGTCCCACATCCCACAACTAGAAGGACCCACAACTAAGAATATACAACTATGTACTGGGGGGCTTTGGGGATAAAAAGGAAAAAAATAAAATCTTTAAAAAAAAAAGTGTTGGGGAAGGACACTGCTGGAAAGGAAACAATTTGTATGAAGGCAGCCATGTGGATTAGACAACAGTGGACTCAAGGATCCAAGAGAAGACAGGAGTGGCTGGAATGCAGGGGGCAAAGGGAGGGAATGGCGGGCCGCTGGGGTAAGATTGGATCATAGAAGGTCTTGCAGGCCATGGTGAGGGTTTGGATTTTACTTTACGGAGATGGAAAGCCACAGAAGATTTTAAGGAAGGGAGTGACCAATTTGATGTAGGTTTTAAAAGCTCCCTCTGGCTCTGTGTGTAGAAATGCCTGGAGGGGGCCAAGAACAAAAGAGGAGGCTATTTCAGAAGTTAAGACAGAGCCCATATTCAGCTGGACTGGGTGCTGACAGTGGGTAATATGTATATAAATCTGAAAGCCCTTAACTAGAGACAGAGGGCTTGATTATGAGAGCTTAGAGAGGTCAACCAGCTAACAGGGCTGGGATTAGGGTGAAATGAGGGAGGCACTGGCTTCGGATGCAAAATTTATTCAGAGATCAAAATAAACAATATTTTAATGCAATATTAAAAAAAATTAAATTTCATGCAAAAAACATCCATTATGAGCAAAATATCAAATTTCTCAAAAAAAGACAAGATCAGTAACAGTGCTGTGCCAAGCCATATAAGGAGCCTGAGGCAAAAGGAAAAAGTCAGTAATATTGATCCTGTCTTTACTTAAAATTTTGATATTCTGTTCATTTCCTCACTCTTGTCCAGGCTAGCTGACCTTCTCCACATGTGACATTCTGCTCTGAAAATAGATATTATGGAAAGAAAACTAATGACATAAATTATCACAACCCCCTGGTGGTATAGACCGTATCCTTTCTCCTTGTTCTGGAGACTCTGAGACAGAAGGTACATAATAGTTGCTCCACAAATATTTCTGATGATAATGTTAATGGCTAACATTTATCAGGCTCTTAATATGTCAGGTGCTTTGCCAAAAACTGTTAAATGCAATGATCTCATTGACTCTTCACAACGATTCTGTGAGGTAGGTATAGTATCACTCCTGTCTTACTATGCCTGACACATATTTGATTAGAATTTAACAAATCAAGGAAGAAAGGCAGGATGGACAGATAGAAAGAATAATGAGAGAATGAAAAGTGATGGGCTTCACACTGTTCCTTAGAAGTCCTGTAAGGATAACCAGCGATTCCAACTGCCCAGCAAACACTATCACCACACTTAAAAGGATCTGCAGAGAAAGGAAACTAACCTTAAATGCTTATCACCTTCTTCCATAGGGATTATTTTTGGTAATTGAGTTTTTTCAACCCAACAGCTTTTTTGAGAACATATTTCTTAAATTCATTCATTCCCAAATATTTATTGAGCAATTACTATGTGTTGGGCACAGATCTAGGTGCTGACAACATCATGTGAGTGTAACAAGTAAACAAACACATAAATAAAATCATACAGTATCATCAGTGTTATTCAGGAAACACACGGGTCTGAGATGGAGGACAGAGATGTGACGGGAGCAACTCTAGACAGGTGGGCCCAACATGATCAGACCCAGCAAGGCTCATAACAGTCAAGTTTTTGCAAATCTAATCAATCAAACTCCCTACAGAGCATGATATTTTACAGCTGAATGACTTACTCATACGGAGGACAGTTTTGAAAAGCAACACTCATTTATTTATCTTCTATACACACAGATCTGTAGAAAAGTTATTCACGCCATCAAGGGTTCAAGAACACAGTATCAGGAAAACGTTGGGAAATGTTCTGCCTTCTGTCTGCCCCACCCCATGGGCCCAGATAAATGTCTAGATTTATGGAATTCCAGAGGAGCCTCTTGAACCTGACAATGCCAAGAAGGAGCCTAGGAATGTACGATCTTTGAAAGTCGAAAGGAATTATGTGCAAAAAGATGGCAGCCGAGAGAAGCAAGGAGAAGTCACTTACTTTGATGTTTCTCCTTACTTCTTGTTGCCCAATCAGCTTCCAAAGGCCAGTGATGTAGAAATTCTCCATTTTTCAAACAACCCCACCCAGCATAGTGGCACTTTGATCTCTAAAACATGAGAGAGGAGCAGTGGACAGTGGAGAATATAAATGGCTTTGAAAGGTCAGTGAGAAAAAAAGAAATAAACAGGGAGGAAACCATGTGGAGTTGAAGGGATGAAAGCAAGCCATGCTTGAGCTACCTGCCAAAATTAAAGATAACTCCCGTGAGAGGCCATGTTTCACAGATGAGTGTGCTGTCATGGTTATGGGTACCTACCCATCCTTGTGATTTCTCTGAGAGATGGCATCTTGACTTCCGTGTGCACCTTCCTGGAGATGCTAAATACCAGGGCCAGATTAATCTCTCAGTTTAGCTTCTTGGATACAAGATTTCAGCTCACTTCCAAGCTCTTTCATCCCTTATCAAACACCACTCGTTTCCTGGGGCCTTCGTTGATGTTTTCCTGCTCCATCTCCTTCCCATAAAACCCACCTGGTTCCTGCCAACAGCTGGGTTGTGTGTGGATCTGTGTTTGGAATACCAATGACGTGTTCACAAGGCCATGAGAGCCGTCGGGCATGATGAAACAGGGCAAACAGCGCAAAGGAAACAATGGTCCCTTTTGGACTTTTCATGCGGGATCAAAGAGAGTTGGCAAGTGAAAAGAACTTCTAAAAATAGCCAAAGTCCTTAAAAAGAAATAATGCAGAAGGAAACAAGTTTTATATCGTCCTAATGCAGGCTCTGCGAAAACTAGGCCCTGGAAGGCTGGCGCTGGGGCAGGGGATTATTTTCTTCCTGCCCTTTGGCTGTGACACCCACTGGGTCCCTTTGCAAATCCTGGGCCCTGCTCCCCCTCCTGCTTCCTGCGTGGTGCCGGATGCCTCTGCAGGAATGTAGCTCTTGGGGCACAGCTGGGGCCTCCGTGGCCCGCTTTCAAGATCCAGAATAGACTCTGACATGTGAAACGAGCTCAATGGGGCTTACATTCCTCCTTCGTATCCAAGCACCTTAAAACCCAAAACCGCACGCTGGGATTGCTAACCATTCTTCCAGAGACGCCTGGATATCATCTGTCTGGAAGAAATGTGAGTTTTGTCCTTTTTATTTTTTAATGTTTTGAGCGAGCACAGGGCCCTTGGAAATGAGGCTATTCAACAGAGGGGCAACATAATGAACTGATGTCTCAGGACTGAGGGTTTTATTCTTGGCTAAGCCACAGATTTGCTTTGATAAGCTGTTCAGCCTCTCTGCGTCATAATTCTCTTGGCTAGAGAAAAAGCAGAAGTGTTCATCTACCCAGTACAATAGAAGGAACAGCAAATACAAACTGATTGTTAAGTACCTAGTGTAGTGTCTACACAACAGGCGCCCAGAGATGCTTGCTTGCTCATATAAAATGCCTTGTGAAACCCCAAGCGCTCCAAAAAGGTAGATAATCAACACGCTAAAACATAGGCTCTTATTAACAGTGGTAATAATGTCTTGTATTTCCTAGGCACTCGCTATATGCAACTCCTTTCCCAGTCTATTCCTTCCTCATGACAACATGCTGAGATCGTACTCTTAACAGCTTCATTTTACAAATGCGGCACCTGAGGATCAGAAAGGGTAAACGACTTGCCTGGTCATGTAAGGAGGTAACGACACAGCAGAAACCAAAACCCAGGCCTATGAGAACTTCCCTTTTTCTTGGGTTGCGAAGACCCAGCCTGAAGTAGGACCATTCACTCAGTTGCCCCAGTGGTCTCTTGCCTCAGCCCAGCCCTTTATCAGCAATGGCAAATGACTCTACTGCGATAAAGGCCAGGGTGGACTTGACTGACGCTGGGTCTTCTTGGGAAGCATCACAGTGACAATCAGGAAGCTGCTGGTGAGGCCCTGAACCTGTGGAAGAGGACAGTTCTGTGTCAAGGGAGGGACTTGCAAAGACTCCATTCAATGAAACAAGTACCTCCTTGAGAACACTATCCGCGGGGCCTCTCGAGTTGGGAAGGCTGATGGGGCAAAAAGAACAGAGAAGCTAAGGATCGCTCAGTCCAAGGGGAATTTTATTCTCTTTCCCACATTTCTTTGGTGGTTAAAATCATGGACTCTGGAGTCAGAAAGCCTTCCCTCCAGGTCTCAGCTCTAACATTTATTTAGATGTTATTTAGCTGTATGACCTTAGACAAATTATTTAAACTCTCTGAGCCTTGGTGTCCTTAGCTGCAAAAAGGGGGATGAAAAAGCAATGCTTTGAGTTCAGTTCAGGGCAGCTGTCCTGTTCTGTTAATTAAACTCTGGGACATTGAACCTGCTGGGGTAGACGACAGCATAGAAAGTATTACTCTATTAATTTACCTCCCAGCCTACAAAAACAAAGAAAGAAAGAAAGGGGCGGGTGGGGGCAGTGATGCTTACCTAACAGAATTTCTTTGAGGATTAATTAAAATAATGTATGTAAAGTGCTTAGGACCGTAACCGGTACATAGTGAATGTTCAAGAAAAGGTCACTATTGTATTATTTATGGACAAATTTTATTATTTATGGGTATGTCCAGAGAAGACTATTGGGAAACACATGGTAGGGTGAGCCCTCAGTGTTTCCATGGAGATAACAAACACATCCTTCCAAAGACTGAGTATGAAGAAGCCAAATTTTCTAGGTCAGGTGAGAAGGAAAAAAAAAACCCCAGCTAACAGACCATGTTCCTGCGAGCTGGAAGGTCTACTGACTTCGAGAAAGGAATGTCCTTGTTGGGCTGGTTCTGGAGACTGTAACTTGTGCAACAGAGTCAGGAGATTTTTGGAGACACATCAGTAAGAGAAGGTTGGAGGAAGGGGGTGAGGGCTGCCAGAACCCTGCAGAATCACTTTGCATTTGGCTCGAAGCCCCGGGGCTTTGCAGCGTCCGTCTGCAGGAAGGATCGTTCTGTTGAAGATGTGTGCAGGTCTTCAGGATGGCTGAGAGCCTGCAGGATGCTCTGGGCCGGGGTGTACCATTAAAGTTCAGACAGAACTGGGGCCTGCAGAGCATGCTGCCGCACCAGGGAGCCCTCTGTTTTTCCCCTCGGAGTGGAGGCTGTTTTCTCTAAGCACCTAAAAGAATTCCTGATCTCAAGTGAATGATGCTCTGTGAGGGCGGGGGAGTGTTTTAGGGGTGGATAAGCCAGACTGCGGAGAATTGAAGATCCAGAATCAAGGGAAGAAATAAAGGATATTGGAGGAGATCCTCGGGGATGTGTGTCTGCTTACAATTTCTACTCTTCATTAAGAAGTGTGAGAGCTCAGGCTGGATTGTGCTGTTGGGTGAACAGCTGAATTAGATTAACAGCCTGCGCTTCCTGCCAGCTACACTTGGTCCAAGCCTCTATGCCCGTCTTATCTGAAGCATGGCTGGATGAGTCTGGTATGGCTAGACTGTAAACTCCTTAAAGGCAGACACTGATTTCTACCAGAGGTCCAAGATTCCTTTTTGGAAAAGCCTTCGGAATAGATATGTTTCAGAATGCAGAGTTTGGGGGATTTTAGAAAGGTAGTGTGGTGCATGTATCGTGCATTATGGGACAACTCCAGTGGGGTCTGGGACAGCAGCGTATAATCAAACACGTTAGTAATTCTGCATCAGACTATTTAGCTATTAACATAAAGCAGGATAAAGAGTTCAAATAGTCTCAGGACAGTTTGGGTCAGATGTTGTTGCAGTCGGAGTGATGAAATATCTTCTAGTTTTCAGAGACTTTTGCATGTCAGACCTGTGTATTAGGGCTTCCAAGCCTTTCTTTTTCCTTTCCCTTTCTTTTTCTTTCTTCTTTCTTTAAATTTCCAGGCCATCTGCAGCATCCTGCCCATGGCAGGTGCTGAGTAGAAGTCGTTGGCATCTAGAGTATGACATCTTGATCTCCTTCAAATAATATTTGATTCTGGAAGTCAGGGCATAGTTTGGTCTCAGTGACTTGGGGATTCTTTAGGATTAGGAGGATCCTAAATTAAAGACAAGGAGAAAGAGACTATTGAACCCACTGGTTCTCTTTCGTCCTGGACAGTAACGCACATGAACCCATGAAATACACTGAGAACTGGTCACTAGTGTAGCATATCCAGCACTTAAGCAAATGAGAAGAGAGCATCATTATGCATCGTGATAATAAAAAATTCTAACCTATCACTTAGAAAATGCTATTTTTCAAATATTGCTGAAATATTACTAAATGTTAAAAATCAAGGTTGTTCAATTTTAAGTCAATAGCACAGATGATTGGCAAAACTAAATAATGAGATACATGGAGGATGATAATGAAGCTGACACCTATTGAATGCTTACAGGTTTTCAAGTGCTAAGCTTAGCACTTTATGTGCATTGTCATTTAACACTTATAGCAGCACTGTACAATAGCTACTGTTATGGAGGCCCATTCTACAGATGAGGAAACTGAGGCTCTGCGAGATTGAGTAATTTGGTAGTGGGTGTCCAGCCAGAACTCAAACTCTAGTAGTATGCTGATAACCCAGTTATCAGAGGGAAGGGAGAGGAAGGGAAGAGAAAGGAAGGGAAGGGAAGGGAAGAAAAAAAGCCTTGATTTAGAGCAGTTGCCAATTTCAGTAGTGTGAATACTCTCATTGGAGCTAATTTCAAGCTACTAATGGTTTGACAACTGGCTTGCAAACTTCCTGAACATTTAATAATCGGCTTTCATGAACTTGTAGGAGCCATCTCCTGCATGCCACTCTCAAGTCCACCCCGTGGCCACACCCACAGTTTACTGCCAACTTTGGAAGACAACATTTCAGCTCATGGAACTGGCTTAGGAAGAGCATGCTGAGATGCTGGCCCAAGCCAGTCAGCCACGGCTACGTTCCTACCTCAGACCTGGTACAGATCACTGAGGGTGGAGTAGGGGAAAAACAGAGAGAAGAACACATTTCCTTCACCAGATGGTGTGAAGTGGGTTCCTGTCAACCTGACACTCACTGGCAGAAACAACAAAGTCTGGAATTTTTTCAGGCCCTAGAAACTTTCTTGGTCAGATAAGGAGGTCAGACTCAGATCAAAAGGTCTAATCCCTTCCTTTAGATCCTTAAATCCCATAATATTTCCTTTGAAGAAATAAGGAATGATCTTCTGCAAGAGTGGAAAAAAGTTTGGGCCTGCTTTTTTTTTTTAAGATTTTATTTTTCATTTTTCTCCCCAAAGCCCCCCAGTACATAGTTGTGTATTTTTTCTTTTAGTTGTGAGTCCTTCTAGTTGTGGCATGTGGGACGCTGCCTCCACATGGCTTGATGAGCGGTGCCATGTCCGTGCCCAGGATTCAAACTGGTGAAACCCTGAGCTGCTGAAGCAGAGCGTGGGAACTTAACCACTCGGCCAGGGGGCCAGCCCCTGGGCCTGCTTTTAACCAAGGATAGGATGTTCTAGCCTAATTCGAACCCAATTAGAATACATTCAGGCTTTTGGTTTAGCTTCTCTGTTAATACCCGTAGGACACCACCTTCTAATTAGGTCTCTTGATAACATGTTTCCACTGGAGCCTCCTGAGAAGTGACTGGCCTTGTATTCAATCAACAAACACGCGGAGGACACTGATTATGTGCAGGTGTTTGCTAAGTGCTGGGTCTAGAAAGAAAAGGCATCGCTTCTGTCCTATGGCCTCAGAGACTAATGAAGGAGACAGTCAAGTAAATATAGTTAAAATGATATTCATTCACTTATTCAACAAGTATATATCAAGTACCCATTAGGTGCCAGGCATTTTGCCACGCACTGGGATACCATGGGGAGCAAGACAGATTGGTTTGTGCGGTTGTGGAGCTGACGGTCTGGTCATGAAGGGAGACATTAATTAAATAATCACAGGAATGAATGTGTAATTAAAAACTGAAGTAAGAGCTCTGAGGAAATGTTAAATAGTCCTATGAGAACTGGAGGAAGCTGACACAGTTAAGAAAATCAGGAAAGGCTTCCTTGAGGAATTCGCAATTGAACTACGACTTGAAGAAAAAGTAGGACTTAACCAGTGAGTGGGATAGAGAGAAGGAGGAGGGGGATAGTGCTCCAGAGAGAAGGAACAGCATGGGTAAATGTCCTAGGGTAGATGGGAGCACAATGGTTTCAAGGAAATGGAAGGCTAGTTTGGAGAGAGGTAGTGGGAGATGAGGCATGTGAGGAGGCCAGGGCTGCGCCTCACAGAGCCATGCTGGACACATTAAGGCTCTAGTCTTTACCCTAGAGCTATGGGAAACCACTGAAGGGCTTCAGCAGGAAATATACGTGGCAAATTACACTCAGTGCTGCAGTGGAGTAAATGAAGTGCTACTATGGGCGTATTAGGGATTCAACTAATCTAAACCGGCGTGTGTGGTGTGGAGGGAGAGCAGGGAGGTTGGGGTTGGAGGATGTGTTCACATAGGCTTTCTGGAGGAGGAAATACCTGAGATGAATTTTTGAAGAGTGAGCATGACTTAGCCAGGCCACAGTGGAAGGGTGGAGGAAGGGAGAGAGAGAGAATGCTGCTGGCAGCAAGAGGATGCTCGGGTTAAGGCGTGGGTGAGTGTGAGGGTGTGGGGAGACTACAAGAAGAACAGGCCAATAAGAGAAAAAGCAACACGTTAGGTAGGGACCAGATGATGAAAGCCTCATAGGTCATGGTTGAGTCTGGGTTTTATCCTGATGGCAGCAAGGAACGGACTGACCTGGTCAAAGATTTCAGCAGGGGAGTGATGATCAGATTCATATGTTAGAAAAGTCACTAGCAGCAGGGTCAAAAGTGGATTGGAAAGGAGCAGTGCTGGAGAGGGGAGACCACTGCTTCCTGCTTTAGCATCCCAGGTGAGTCAAGGTGCTGGGTCTGCCCTAAGGGAGCCATGGTGAGAACGGAGAAGAGAGAATGATCTTAGGAGACGTTAAAAAGGCACAATTGAAGAGTCTTTGTCACCAACAGGATGGCTGGGAATGATTTCTACTCTACCCAAAGAATGATCTGAACAAAACAGATTCTTCTATTTTGTGTTGAGTCTTGTCTTATGACCTGGTACATGGCCAATTTTTCCAAATGCTCCATATGTTCTTGAGAAGAACGGTGTTCACTGATTGTTAGGTGCAGGGGTCTCTCCTTTGTTCATTCAATTAAGCTTGTTAATTGTGTATTTCACTCTTCTACATCCTTATTAATATTTTTTGTCTGTTTGCTCTATCATTGATGACAGAAATGTATTAAAATCTCCCACTATCATTGTGACTTGTCAACTTCTCTTTATATATTTTCAACTTTTTGTTTTATATATTTTGAGGCTATGTTATTAAGTACACACAAGCTTAGAATTTTTATATCTTTCTGTTGAATTGTTCCACTTATCATTATGCAGTGATCCCTTTTATCCTTGATCATTCTTTTTGTCTTAGACCTACTTTATATGATATTAATATAGCCATACCAACTTTTAATAGTTGCCGGTTGAAGTTAGTGCACTCTATTTCTTTTCTTTTAGTAGTTACCCTTAACATTTAACATGCATATTTGACTTAATAAAATCTAAGGTTAAATAATATCTCTAAAGGAAGAGTTAAAGGTTTTGGATGATGCCATTCCTAGAGATGGGGAGCAAGGTCTTAGAGCATATTTGGAAGCAAAGGTGAGACCTGTTTTACAGATGTTAGGTTTGATGACACATATCCAATTATTACCTCAAGAGATGCCTAAACGTCTGCCTTCAATGCCTTTATACACTTTGCAAAAAATCCTCCTTCATGAGTATTCTGCATTGCTTAAGCATTGATGGGAGTTAAGAACAAACTCAAAAAAATAAACATCAGTGTTTGCCTTCCCTTGATTCTGAGAACCATAAAGCTTTCCTTCGACCTTAGTCACCAGGGCCAAACTGAGTACAAACGTCTCCTAGTAATAGTAGGCTTCACAAATGTCACTTCAGCAAGTGTTGATTAGCTGAGAACTAGTCTGAAATGGTGACCTTGATCCTCTCTTACGTAACCACAACGTACCTTTACCTCCTTCATCATCTCTGCTATGTTTGCGGGCTAAGTGATGGAGGAGGAGCTAGGCTAATTTCTGCCAAATATGAGAGGGCATGGAAAACTCTGTTTTCACATCAATTGAAAAATTATTTTAAATTAAGCATTCAATTGCAGTCGACCTAGACCACACCAGGCTTCAACTAGTTCGACATAACCAGTTACTCATATGTCCTATAGGTCAGGTCATATTTTTATACTTTCCAAGCGGTGTTATGAATACTGTGCCCATTTAACCCTTCAGACAAGTCTATGAGGTAGGCAGAGTGGGGATTATTAGAGGAAACATCTTGGAAGGAGTGAATGACATGCCCAGGTCCCCAGAGGCAATTTGTGCATAGCTGGGGCTGACAGTGCTGCTTACTATCCCATGCTGAAGAGTGACTGTTGTATTCCTGGTCAACAATGTATATGTAACATCCTATTCATGTGTCAGAGTTTAGATTCTCTTCAAGAGGCTAGAGCTGACAAAATATATCACAGATGTTCCAACAGGCTTGGTGTTCCCCTCACTTTGGTGTCACCGATAAATAAAGAAAATCCTCTGTCTTTCCCCAAATCTCACCAGTGCCCCAAATCTCAAAGGCTGGCCTTAGTACACAGTGATGACATGGAGTCCGTTGGGCTTGATATTTTCCATCTCCCAACACACACATAGATAACCCCTCCCCTGACAGCCAACAAAAAGATAAGAGTAACGAGAAGAGAAGCAGAGCTTATAAATTTCCATTTCACTTAATCCCTGATTTCACATAGTTAATGGATTCATTTATTAGAGCAATTTGTGTAAATCCTCAAGGGCCGCGAAGGCTGCTGCCTAATGGTTTTATCACGTCATAGACTTCCTTTATTCCTATCCTTTAACAAATATTGATTGGAAAGGAACTTTGGACCACCGCTGCTTAAAATATGAGTAAATCGTAAGTAAGGCAAAAAGAAGGGCTTTTTGTGCCACTGGAATTTCCTTCAGAAACAAAAAGGGATTTTATTTTTTGTATGTTTCAGCTAATTCATAAATCCCGCTGCCACAGTCTCTCAGTTTTACATTGACTCAAGGCTTATTTTCAGAAGTCAACATATCCTCTTTAGGTTTCCGGGTATGGATCTGAACTGAAAAGGGGCAGGAACAATCTGAAATCAGTACAGCCACCCCATCACTGTCCCTTTTCCTGGGGGAAGCAGTCAGAGAACAGAGTCATGGCCTTGTACAACCTTAGGTTGCACCGTGGTCAGGAGGGAGGAGATGTCTGAGGACGTGCTGGCCTCTGGCAGAAGTCTTGTCGCCAGGGAGAGCTCCGCATGACGAAGTCCAGGCTACATGGCTTACAGGCACATGTGAATATAAACATTAGGAGAATCCTTAACCAGAGCTAGTGTCTCCAACCTCAGCCAGCCTTCTGGAGCATCTGTTCCTCTTCATCCCAAAAGGATCGAAGCAGGAATGCAAATGGATAGAGCCAAATCCGTACCCAAGACTTAGAAAACAACTTAAAAGAGACTCCCTGCTAGCACTGGATCTAGAAGGGAGGCCGTCCCTAACATGCAATTGCTGCACGACAAGGGGCACACATAGACCTCCACTCGAGGAGACCCAGGGCAACAAGAAACAAAAATTCTGCCCACCTAAGACTGACAACACAAATGGCTATTTGTAAGTTAAATGGCAATCATCAGTATATAATTATGGTTTCCTGTACCAAATTAAGTACATAACTTAGTAAGTATTAGGAAAAAAATGAAACGAAAAAATATTTATTATCTCTTAGTTGTATCTTAAGGAAGAGGGATCTGGTAATTGTTGTATGCTAATGGAGAGGTGATGGGTGAAGATGTCCAGGTTTGGAAGAGCTAAACTGCTTTATATCAGAAGGGGATCCAGAATCAAGTGGAGTGAAGAAGTGAAATGAGAGGAAGATTGAGAGGCTGGGCGAGAAAAGGCTGAGCAGAGAGACAGAATGAGAGAGACAGAGCGGGGCTCTGAGACCTGGAGGCTTCTGCATGAAAGAGAAGGGTTTGGAAGAGAGTGAGGGTCTGGGGAGGAAATGCAGTGTGCTGCAGAAGGTAAACTACAGTCTTCCCTGTGAAACTGGCATAACTAAAATTAATTTTCTATCTGTTACTGTATTATGTGAAAAGAGTTGGACAGAGTTTCACCATATGTGAAGGAGATATTTGGGACTGTCTGACTTTGAAAATAGTTTATATGGTATATGCAAAGTTCTCTTTGGGGGTCCTTGGAGGGACTTCAAACCATACTGACTGGCCCACGTGGCTGTGGACTGGGAGAGATGTACCAGAGACATTAAAGTGCCTGAGCAGAGGGAATAAATGGAGGCTTCCAACATGAACCCTAATTACAAAGTCACCAGGAAAAATTATCTAAATCATTGCCTTCATTTATGATGGAATCGATTTCTAAGCAAGCAACTCCATGAGGTTGCTCCAAGGATGGATGGATGCATGCATGCATGGATGCATGGATGGACAGTCGGTGAGGGGAATGCAGGAGGCTGGCTGGCCTTCCATGAAGTTCACAGGGCTCCCTAACACCTAGTAATGTGGGTTGCTCCTGGGGAATGAGCCAATGCCTGGTGTCCTGCTTCAGGGATGGCACTGGGACAAAAGTGGAGACTGTTGGTGGTGACAGGCAACATCTGGGTCACAAATGAATAACTTAAATGCCGACCTCATGGGGGCAGGTGTATGGTCTAGGCAATGGGTAGTAACCCCACTTCCAGCAATAATATTGCAATATCTGTAAGGTCACTTAACTTTTTCCTGGTGATTAAGAGCAAGTTAGGGCCTTGTTTCAAGAGACTCCTTTCAAGGCTCAGCTCCACCACTTACCAGCTGTTGATGTTGGACAGGCCATTGAATATCTCTAAGCTTTGGTTTCATTTTATTAAAAATGGGGATAATATTAGTGTCTGTCTCAAAGGGTTATGGTGAGGATTATGTGAGTAAATTTATTGCCCAGAATATGTTGATGATGATGATCATTATTATAATAAGGCCACTTGATAATTGCTGTGTACAATAAGTACCTACTCACACTTACAAGATGAAGTTCTTACCTTAGTTTTCTGGCCCTTTTCTCACCTCTTCCTTGTACAGCCCTTGTAGTCAGCAGCACTTCATTCTCCTAAATGGTGGGGCAAATAGATGCTTTAAAATATTAACATTTAGGGGCCAGCCCAGTGGCATGGTGGTTGGGTTCACACGCTCTGCTTTGGCGGCCTATGTACAAAATACAGGAAGATTGGCACAGATGTTAGCTAAGGGACTATCTTCTTCAAGCAAAGAGAGGAAGATTGGCAACAGATGTTAGCTCAGGGCCAATCTTCCTCACCAAAAAGAAAAAAATAATACTAATGTTTATTGGCTTTGCTTTTTAATCTTTAGAGGTGTAATTGATGCATTTCTACACTAATAATATAAATTTGTATATAGTGGATATATGAAACATTAGAGGATTGTAATATGTCATATGGTGGTTTCTGTGTCATAATAAGCATGTCTTATTAGAAAATAATTAGGATGAGATGGCCTTCATACAAGGGACAGACCCACCCTCTCTGTGAGATGTGAGGCTATATGGGAAGCTGTGGAAGCAGGCAGTAACTGGCGATCCTTCATAGTGATCTGTCTCATAAAATTTCCCTTGGGCTGGTGTTTGCCCTTTAAAAGCCCCACTTAACACCCCCACATGCCTTGTTCTCCAGTTCTGGTTCTGTTCCCACCAGCAAACCCAGAATTTTCCTTTACGCATTAACCCTTGGCTGGCTCAACAGTGGGCAGCCTGAAATGCCTCCTGTGCCTCTTCCTGCAGGTCTCGAACGCCCAGGCTATCTGTGCTATCTCTGCACACGGGCCTGGCGGTGCCTCGTCAAAACAGTGGGAGGATGGAGGGGAAACCTCAGTGCTGGCCTCTCGGCTTTTGTGGGTTTCAGCCAGACCCTGGGTGTTATTTTAGTGCAACTTCAGTGTTTAATTTGAGGATGTGTGTGGATCAGAAGGAGGGACCAAAACATTATTTTTTTTTCCCTTGGCCAAATGATTAAATTTGAAGTTCTAAAAAATGCACAGCTTGGTCCCAAGCTGTGTCCAATTGGGAAATGAGAAGGGCCCTGAGAATCCTCCCATGCCAGGGACCATCATTCCTCAACCGCTGGCCACCACACAGGCCTGTTGACTGTGGCCATCACCTGGGCAGTCTGTGGTTCCCAGCCACCCAGGAGCCCTGTGCCCTGAGGATCTCCTTCCCTTCTTGAAAGTGTACCTTTGCTGGAAGAATATTCTACAAGGTTGTTTAATTTCTTACAGCCTTGAAAGCGCCATAACCAGCAGCTTCTGAGCCATGGCTGAAGGAGAAATCACAACCTTCACGGCCCTGACCGAGAAGTTTAATCTGCCTCCAGGGAATTACAAGAAGCCCAAACTCCTCTACTGTAGCAATGGGGGCCACTTCCTGAGGATCCTTCCAGATGGCACAGTGGATGGGACAAGGGACAGGAGCGACCAGCACAGTAAGCACCCATCTTTCTTGTAGCCCCTTGACTAAGGAAGACAACAAAAGAGTGTCTTAGTCAAGAATGGGGGAAGGGAGGCTATCTAAGAGCTGGCACCCTCTTCTCCAAGATTTTATTCAGGCATGACACACTCAGAGGCTGGGGTCACATAAATGCATAAAGGGTCTGGGTGTGGAAAATAGAGAGTTGTGAGGGCTACAGCTTATCTAAATGCATCCTATTTCAAGACATTAAAAGGACTCACTGTTGACCTTTCACAACTGCTTTGAGATCAGACGTGGCTGCCAGTGTTCAATTGCTGTGTGTTTCCCTGAGTCTGCGTAACTTGCGAAAGTTCTAGCCACCAACACTGGTCAGGGCCCTGCCTGCTCTGGGACGGGAAGAGCCGTACGGGGCAGGGGCGGTAAACCCTGCACAAAGACGTGGGCTCAGTTTCAAGTTAACTGACTCTCCAGGTTACGTTTCCATTGGCATGATTTGTGAAATCCTAGTTCATAATCGTAGTCTTACACATCATAAATTACACAGCTTTCGCTCTGCGTATCATGCAGATGTGGTTGTGGTACCCGGGAGGGGTAAAGTCATTCTCCAGACCTTATAGAAACTGGAGAGCGGGAGCGATTTGAGCCAGAGGCTGAATATCTCTTCCGGGCTTTCCTGCCAGCTCACCTCTGCAGACCGTGCTGCTAAATGGAGGTACGACTTTGGAGGAAAGAATCTTCTTGACTATCTAAAAATTAAAAATCTCTTCCTTCTGCTTTAGTACTTCTGGCATTGGTGTGCATGTTTGATATTAGGTGTCTGGGTGCTACTGCGATGTTATCCGGGATTCCCTGAGCACCACTGAGGCGTTAGACGTTGTAGAGAAGCTAAAAGTCAGATCCGGTCCCTGCTAAGAGGGTCTAAAGGGTAAAACACACCGCAAATCAAGAGAAGGAAAGTGGATGAAATCAGGAGACACCAAATAGCAGAGATAGAATGGAAGGTTCTGGAGCACTGGCTTTAAGATGGAATGCAAAATACTGGCTTTGATGTGATGTGTTTTATATCAGACAGTCTTAATTATTCATGGAATATGTACCAAAGGCTGTAGACTCTTACCACAAATGGCCACCTCAATGGTGCTCACCCTCTACCCTCAGATGCACAGGTGGTGGGCATAGATGCTGGTGATCATGGACCAGGTGGCATTGTCCCTTCCTTCTCTCCCACCATGCAGACCCTTGAGACGAGGTACAAGGAGGCTGAAGTTGGGGCTTGCAGTGGCAGGGTTAGCTTTTTGGGGCTTTGTTTTGATAGCTTGTCCTCGAATGGGCCCACTGAACGCCTTACACTTGATGAAAAGTAGGTCCCAGAGTGAGGCAAAAAAGACTCTATTTTATATGTTAAACATATATATAACCAACATTTACTGCAAATAAATGGACTTAGATTGCAATCTGTTGTGTCAGGCAAGCTACACAATTTAACTGATCCGCCCAACACAACACAAGGGGGAACAAGCTTTAATTTCTCTAAGGTTTTAAATGTTTCTAATAAGTCTTACCCATTTTCTGAACCACTGGGGATGCTCTGTGGTGCTCAGAATCCCAGGGGAAAGACAACCTCGCTGGTGTGTTCCTCAGGGTTAAGCTGGGTCTTCCTGGAAACCTTGAATTCTGGGGTAACAAGAGGCTACAATTACAGTTTCCAAGTACTAGAATTTCTGTACAAACGGTATATGACTTCACCGTTGTCATTCCATCATTAACATTGCAGACTGCGCTCTGGGTATGTAACATTGGGACAACTTCTGAATGGTGCTACGGATCCAGCCACCTGACCTAAGATGTCAGGAACCCTGGAATGCAGCACAAGGCAGCCTAGGAGTGTGTGAGGAGGTCTGCCTCCGGCTAACGCTGGATTAATTATTTGCCAAGTGAGCTTGGTCAAGTTACTTAACCTTTCTGGCCTCACATTTCTCATTCTTATGATAAAAATAGTAATTACTTGCCTCACAGGTTTCTTGGGAGGATTAATTGAGATAATGTAGTGAAAGTTCTTGGCACTGTGCCTTGGCTCAAAGTAACAGCTCAGCACATGTTGGTTAATATTGCTATTGTCATCATCATCAAGATTTCCATATATTCAACCCAGCCTATGGAAATACAGTATAATACTTACGGACCTTCTCCAGTATTTTCTCTGCAATAATACTGCCTTCCAGGAAGGCCAAGGGTCTGGATTCAGGTTTTGATTCAAGGCCTCTCTGGCAACGTTCGGAGTTGTTCTGTTCGCCTATTTACTTACTCTAGAACTAAGAACAAGGGCCAAGGAGGACAGAGATCAGAGTAAGTGGGGTGAGTGAACAGAAATCCATCCCTGTCAATGCCGGGAGAACTGGAGAATCCTCACACCCTCTGCAGGGTCAGGGGCCCTAGATTCAGTCAGTTCATATTCCTGTGCTGCCTCTTGCTAACTGGAGCAGCACTGAACAATTACCATTCTCTCCATTTTGCCAAAAGAGCTCTGCAAAAGCCCTTCAAGTGCCCCAGCCCCATGACCCTTCCAATCATCTTCTCCTGTCTGGAAACTTTGATGCCTCCAATGTTCCAAGTCGTCCGATCTTGGGGAAAATATTGAGACTCAGTTCTCTCACCTGTGGAATGGGAATAATAACATTGCCCTGTGTGCCTGACAAGGCTGAAAACTCTTAGAAGATCCTGCAGCCAAGAGGACTCCCCGGCCAGGATGCACCCGGTGAATGGGGTGCTGTTGCCCTCTGCTGCCCATTGGTGGTACTGCCACAACTCTTCTGAATTTCAAGACATGTTCAGAGACAGAATCAACCTGGGCAGGCATGGAGTGAGTGAGCCCTGGCTAACTGATTAGAACAGTCTGGCCAGGGGATGATTTCCATTCCATGATCATTAATTTGAGCATGACTAGAAACTGTGGTCACATGTAGACAGCCATACTCGAAGACTTCCTTCAGGAAGGGTACTTCTAAAAGCCAATCAAATAAATAAATCTATGGAAAGCATGCAAGACAGAACTGTATGCCTTCCAGGTCTACAAGGCAAAAAAATAACTCCTTTCACAGCTTCTCTTTGTCCTCAACCAGCGGATCTGCCCTCGGCAAAACTGAGATGTTTTCAAAATTTGTCTCCTTCCCACCTCTGGGAGAATAAGTTTCCAGGTACCTAACATTAAGACCTTTCTTGGAGGGGTATAAACCTACGATGGATGTTTGTGCAAAGGCTATTGTAATGTAGGCCTGAGTAAAATGTTTCCTCTGATAGGAATTTCTGGCCTGTAGAGTAGATGTTTTTGGTTTGTCCCTTTACAACATCTCAAATCATGGCTGTAGGCAGTTACCAACATAGGCTGTGAACGTTTGTTACATTGCCATGCTACGGATGCCGGGCAAAATGAGAGAGTAAGAGCCGCAGATTGCGAGAAGGGGCAATGGGTGCAGGTTGTGAGAAGATTCATGTTGACTCCTAGGGCTTAACTTTGGGAGATGGGTAAATGGTGAGTACTTGATACATGCCAGGCGTTGCGCTGGACTCTTTCGTTTCTGCCTGGCCACAATCCCGTGAGGTTATTAATGATCATCACTCTGCAAACACTGAGCTAACAGGGCCTGGGACCAGCTAGTAACTGAGAGAGCTGGCACAGACTCACAGCTTCTTCCAAGACTAAGGCTCTTTCCATATCCCACTACCGCCCCTGACGTCAACACCATGATGGTGGTTTTGCCTCACAAAATGATTAAATAAACATATTCGACTCACACAGCCTGTCGTGCGGGTCAGACGGGTGTAGGTGCAGGTCCTATCACTACTATTTACTAGTTCCCTGTCACCTTGGGGAAGTTACTTCTCCTCCTTGTGCCTCAGTTTCCTCATTTTAAAAACAAAGATGACAACAGTACCCACTTCATAGGGAAGTAGGAATTTTAAGTACGATAATGTTTGTAAAAGTGTTTAACACACAGCCCGGCATGTGATAAGTGCTCAAAAAATGATATATATCCTCCTCCTCCCCCTCCTTGGGCTTCCTTGGCCTTCCTCTAACCATCTGATCTTTGGAGTCTAAGTTAAATGAATGCGAGGCTTGCTAAGTGAACTGAGGATGACTTTTCATCTCAGCATCCCTGGGACAGTCTAGGTTTGGGGCTCTCAAGGCCTGGCATGTAGGTATAATGTGCCCAGGCCCTGCCCAGCAAACCCTGTGTAACCTCTCCAGCAAAGGCAAAGGGGAGCTCCATGTTTGATTCCGCTCTTTCTGCTGGCATCTCCTCTCTGGCGAAGGCGGCCATGACTTACTCCTCCATGGGATTCATAACTGGAACAATAACTGGAGAATAATAAGAAGCTCATGAGCATCCCAAACTGGCAGCCTCCTCCTGCAGCCTGCGCCCCGTTGCCTCCCCAAGCACGTAAGAGGCTGCACAGGGAGCAGGATTCCCGGCACCGCTCCCCACACAGATGGAAATGTTCCTGAGCAAAGTGTGTGCCAATCAAATATTTATAAATCAAACCACATCCTAAAGGCACTAAGGGAGTTCGCTGGTTAAAAGAATCCTACTTTGCAGCCCTTTATAGAGGGCAGAGTCCTTCCCTTCAGTGAAATCCCTCCCGCCCCGTGTTTTCGGGACAGTCCAGACTTTCATTCTCTGGTTTGCTATGACTTGGCACCTGATGGTAAAGGCACTTTGCTCCCCATCAGCTTGGGCTGAAAGTCAAGATGGCTTTTCAAAGGTCCAAGACGAGCAGATCTGTGCCCTGCTGCCAGAAGTCAGAGAGACGGGCAGCTCTTCAAGCAGGAATGCTCTCCCCAGCCTGGCGTTCTCACCTCGGTTGGCTGTGAAGCCAAAGAACTCCCCACCCCTCCTCCCCACACACCCTTATCTGGTTATACAGAAGGCGTTTTTCTATATAATTTCTTTTTAAAATATCACACAGTCCATGGACTATATCAGAATTTTCCAGTCACCTTTCTCAGACCCTAAA